ATGTGCCATGGTGGTTTGCTGCATCCATCACCCTGTCATCTACATCAGGTATTTCTCCTAATGCTACCTCTCCCCTGACCACCCACCCCGCTGCTATCACTTCCCTTGCCCCCCATCCCCTGCCCCCCAACAGGCCCTAGTGTGTGATGTTTCTCTCCCTGTGTCCATGTGTTCTCATTGTTCAACACCCACTTAGGAGTGAGAACACGTGGTGTTTGGTTTTCTGGTCTTTTGTCAGTTTGCTGAGAATGATGGTTTCAAGCTTTATCTATGTCCCTGCAAAGGACATGACCTCATCCCTGTTTTATGGCTGCATAGCATTCCATGGTGTATATGTGCCACATTTTCTTTATCCAGTCTATCATTCATGGGCATTTGGGTTGGTTCCAAGTCTTTGCTATTGTGAACAGTGCTGCAATAAACATACATGTGTATGTGTCTTTATAACAGAATGATTTATAATCCTTTGTGTATATACCCAGTAATGGGATTGCTGCGTCAAATCATATTTCTGTTTCTAGATCCTTGAGGAATCACCACCACACTGTCTTCCACATCCTCTCCAGCATCTGTTGTCTCCTGATTAATGATCACTATTCTAACTGGCATGAGATGGTATCTCATTGTGGTTTTGATTTGCATTTCTCTAATGATCAGTGACGATGAGCTTTTTCTTGTTTGTGGGCTGCACAAATATCTTCTTTTGAGAAGTGTCTGTTCATATCCTTCACCCACTTTTTGATGGGGTTGTTTTTTTTCTTGTAAATTTAAGCTTTTTATAAACTCTGGATATTAGCCCTTTGTCAGATGGGTAGATTGCAAACATTCCAACCTTTTTTCCCATTCTGTTGGTTGTCAGTTCACTGTAATGATAGTTTATTTTGCTGTGCAGAAGCTCTTTAGTTTAATTAGATCTGATTTGTCAATTTTGGTTTTTGTTGCCATTGCTTTTGGTGTTTTACTCATGAAGTCCTTGCCCATGCCTATGTCCTGAATGATATTGCCTAGGTTTTCTTCTAGAGTTTTTATGGTTTTAGGTCTTATGTTTAAATCTTTAATACATCTTAATTTTTTTTATAAGGTGTAAGGAAGGGATCCAGTTTCAGCTTTCTGCATATGGGTAGCCAGTTTTCTCAACATCATTTATTAAATAGGAAATCCTTTCCCCATTGCTTGTTTTTGTCAGGTTTGTCAAAGATCAGATGGTTGTAGATGTGTGGTGTTATTATTTTTTTCTTTTTTATAAAAAGAGATGGGGTTTCACCATGTTGGCCAGGCTGGTCTTGAACTCTTGATCTCGTGATCCACCCATCTTGGCCTCCCAAAGTGCTGGGATTACAAGCGTGAGCCACCGCGCCTGGCTGTGGTGTTATTTCTGAGACCTCTGTTCTGTTCCATTCGTCTTTATGTGTTCTGGTATCAGTACCATGCTGTTCTGATTCCTGTAGCCTTGTGGTATAGGTTGAAGTCAGGTAGTGTGGCGCCTCCAGCATTTTTTTTTTCTTTTTTGCTTAGGATTGTCTTGGCTATGCCAGCTGTTTTTTGGTTCCATAGGCAGTTTAAGGTGGTTTTTTCCAATTCTGTGAAGAAAGTCAATGATAGCTTGATGGGGATAGCATTTAATCTATAAATTGCTTTGGGCAGTGTGGCCATTTTCATGTTATTGATTATTCCTAACAATGAGCATGGAATGTTTTTCCATATGTGTCCTCTGTTATTACCTTGAGCAGTGGTTTGTAGTTCTCCTTGAAGAAGTCCTCCACATCCCTTGTTAGTTGTATTCCTAGGTACTTTATTCTCTTTGTAGGAATTGTGAATGGGAGTTCACTCATGATTTGGCTGTTTGTCTGTTATTGGTGTATAGGAATGCAGCTGTGAATTCAGCTGTGAGCCCGTCTGGTCCTGGACTGTTTTTGGTTGGTAGGCTGTTAATTGCTGTCTCAACTTCAGACCTTGTTATTGGTCTATTCAGGAATTTGGCTTCTTCTTGGTTTAGTCTGGGAGGGTGTAAGTGTCCTGGATTCATTTTTTGGAAGGGTTTTCACGTCTCTATCTCCTTCACTTCTGCTCTTAGCTATTTCTTCCACTAGCTTTTGAATTTTTTCTTACTCTTCTAGTATTTTGTTTTTCTTAATTGAATTATATCACACTATTTTGGGCACTGTATTTTTAATGTAAGGAAGCATGTCAGCTTAAAGTCACATGGCAAGGATCAGGACCAGAATCTTACCTTGATATATATATATATATATATATATATATATATATAGAATATATATATATATATATATATATATAAAATATATATATATATATATATATATACAGAATATATATATATATATATATACACAGAATATATATATATATATACACAGAATATATATATATATATATATATACACACAGAATATATANATATATATATATATATATATATATATATACAGAATATATATATATTGATACAGAGTTTTGCTCGTGTCCCCCAGGCTGGAGTGCAATGGTTCAATCTCGGCTCATTGCAACCTCCACCTCCTGGGTTCAAGTGATTCTTCTGCTTCAGCCTCCCAAGTAGCTGGGATTACAGACACACGCCATCACTCCCAGGTAATTTTTGTATTTGTATATATACAGAGTTTCACCATGTTGGCCAAGCTAGTCTTGAACTCCTGACCTCAAGTGATCCCACCCATCTCAGCCTTTCAAAGTGCTGGGATTACAGGTGTTATCCACCACGCCCAGCAGAACCTTGATCTTTTAAATGTGAATTTCAGATATTTCTATGACCTGTAAGGGGAGAGGTGGGGAAGATGAAGGTTGAAGGGAATATTGAATAAGAAACTATCTGTACTAGCTCCTCAATACATGAGATATTTGATAATAGCTATATAAAACAAGCCTTATTCCCATGTTAACAGATGAGAAATTAAAGCTCAAAAAGGTTAAATGATTTTGCTAAGATCACTATGTGACCCGAATTCCAGTAGTAATTGCCTAGACAAATCCATTTTCAAGCAGGGCGCAGTGGTGTATGCCTGTAGTCCTAGCTATTTGTGGTCTGAGGTGAGAGGATTGCTTGTGCCTAGGAGTTCACGTACAGCTTGGGCAACATAGCGAGAACCTATTTCTGAAAATAAATAGGTTGGGTGCAGTGGCTCATGCCTGTAATCCCAGCACTTTGGGAGGCCAAGGCACGTGGATCACTTGAGGTCAGGAGTTCAAGACCAGCCTGGCCAACATGGTGAAACTGTCTCTACTAAAAATACAAAAAATTAGCTGGGCGTGGTGGTGTGTGCCTGTAATCCCAGTTACTTGGGAGGCTGAGGCAGAGGCAGAATAGCTTGAACCCAGGAGGCAGAGGTTGTGGTGAGTTGAGATCATCCTGCTGCACTCCAGTGTGGCAACACAGCGAGACTCCCTCTCAAATAAAAAATAAATGAATAATCCATTTTCTTCCCTCTACACCAGAGGTCAGCAAACTTATTCTGTTAAAGGCCAAACAGTAAATATTTTAGGCCTCGTAAGCCATGCAGTATCTGCTGCAACTATTCAGTTTTCCTGTTGTAGCATTAAGGAAGCCACTGAAAAGTGTAAACAACGAGCATGGCTGTGTTCCCGTAAAACTTTAAGGACAGTGACATTTGAATTTCATATAATTTTCACACGTAACACTACTATTACTTGGATCTTTTCCCCAAGCATACAAAAATATAAAACCCATTGGTAATGCATGGGTCTTGCACAAACAGCCTGGAGTTGACCCATGGGCCATGGTTTGCTGACCCCTCTTGTACACCATAACACCTTCTTGTAAGTACACCTCTCTTATGCCTTTGTTCCAAACAATACTGGGTTAGGAAAGACATGGAAAGAAAATGAGACACATTATTATTTTTTTTTTTTTGAGATGGAGTTTTACTCATGTTACCCAGGCTGGAGTGCAATGGCGCATCTCGGCTCACCGCAACCTCCGCCTCCTGGGTTCAGGCGATTCTCCTGCCTCGGCCTCCTGAGTAGCTGGGATAACAGGCACGTGCCACCATGCCCAGCTAATTTTTTGTATTTTTAGTAGAGACGGGGTTTCACCAAGTTGACCAGGATGGTCTCGATCTCTTGACCTCGTGATCCACCCACCTTGGCCTCCCAAAGTGCTGGGATTACAGGCTTGAGCCACCGCGCCCGGCCTGAGACACATTATTTTTTGTACCCTATAGGTGATTGAGGGGTTGTTGCTACATAGCCCCCTCAATTTATGCTGTAGGAGTCTTATTCTAACGCTAAATGTTAGAATATGCAGTTGGGAGTCTTATTCTAACGTTAAATGTCTCTTTTGTGGCTTATCCTAACCTTAAAATTGTAAATTCATTTAAGAAAGATTTTTTTTTTTTTTTTAAGACAGGGTCTTACTCTGTCACCCAGGCTGGAGTACAGTGGTATAGCCATGTCTCTCTGTAGCATCAACCTCCCAGGCTCAAGAGATTTTACCACCCTAACCTCCTGAGTAGCTGGGACTATAAGGTGTGCACCACCATGCCTAATCTTTTTTTTTTTTAGATACGGGTCAAACTATGTTGCCCAGGCTGGTCTTGAACACCTGGACTCAAGCATTCTGCCTGCCTCTACCTCCCAGTGTTGGGATTACAGGTGTGAGGCACTGTACCTATCTTCTTATTGTAAAATTTCCTTTAATGCTTTAATAATTGGTGTATAGTAAGTGCTAACTAAATACTCACTGATAAGCACTGATCAGACGCTGCCAAATACTGTCTTTCTTTATTCACAGATGATAGTCAATGGGCAAAACATATAAGCAGTTACAATGAAATGAGAAGCAGTATAGCAGTCAGGCTATATGTAAGATTTAACAACAAAATTATCACTTCCTTTTAATTTAGTTTAAGGGATAATTTAAAAAGCATTTCTTGGCCCTATCATTTCAGTTCCAGTCATTATTATGTGTAAGTGAACACTAAGTTTGATTTTCCCTTCTCTCACAGAACAATTTTGGTGATCTAGATGGTGGCCACTACGCTGCTTTCTGCAAGAATTCGGTCACACAGGCCTGGTATAGCTTTGGTGACACAGGTCAGTGAGATTCCAGGTACTTCCGTTCAAAACGCTACAGCCTATCTCCTGTTCTATAGCTGTCAGCCCTTTTCCATACCGACACAAAAGTGTTAAAAGCCAGGAAAATGGTGTTTCTGGAACACTGCAAAACAAGCAATTAGCATGTGGTGGTAGAGTTTTGTCATTAAACTCTTACAACGGACTTGCATCATTAACATTTTTATGTCTTTCGGGAATGTTATACAACCTTTTATCTTAACGTAAGTCTGTTGTCCAGAAGAGGGGTGCTGGTTCACTGGAAAAGGCAGTGTGAAGATAATGCAATGCTAATGGACAGAGGCCTTCAAAACACTGCAGATTACATAGTGAGTTCAGGTTTTAAAATTCAGTGTTTATCAGAAAATATCTCATATATAGTCAACAAATTATTTTCCAAAGATACTTCATGGAGCTAAACAAAAATAATTTTTGTTCAAATGGCTCTTTGAGTTTAAGAATGTGATCTGGATATATCTGATACAATAATTTAGCCAATAAGTAAGTGGTAAGTTTCTTACACTAATTGTAAAACATGAAAAGCTTTCAGCTTCACAATTTGAACCCCATCCTTTCATCTTCTCCCTGAGAGCCTGCTAATGGTGATCTCTTTCTGAAGTACTTTTAGAATCTTATTTTTATATGGAGTGTTTTACTGACTACACATATAGCAACTGAGTCCCTTGGTTTAATATATCACTCTGTGAAGATGTGGTTTATAATGCAGTTCACTTTGCAACCATGCCTGACACCTAGAATTTTTACCTTAATATGTAGAATGAATATTCTCAACATATGAGAATACTAGTCTTGAAAGGATGGCTCTGGGTGTTATTATATAGCACACATGTGTGTATAAAATCTATGGTTTTACATACATAGATACACTGTATTTGATAATACAGTATTAAAGACAAAACACAGGGTTGTCAATTATTTTTCTCATTAAGATTTTAATGTAGCTGTAAATGAAATTCTCATTTTAAAAAAATTAAAGAAAGTTTCCATTTTTTTTTTTAGAATAAAGATTTAGTGCACAAATACAGCCCAAAGCCAACAGAAAAATAGCTCTGCCCTGTCAGTCATTTCCCTAAGAAAGCAATGCAGTTACTCAAAATAGGCTGAAAGAAAAAAAAAAAAAAAAAAAAAAAAAAAAAAAAAAAAAAAAAAAAAAAAAAACAAAAAAAAAAAAAAAAAAAAAAAAAAAAAAAAAGCCTCTGAGTTCTAGTTTTCACAAAAGGACCACATGTTAAACTATGTACATTGATTTGATGTGCAAGTATGCAATAAATATGTACACATACATTCCTATCTGCTTTACATCATTCTAGAGTATATCAAGATGGGATTTAGAAATGTGAAAAGGCCGTAATAGTGAAAAGGAAAAACAAGGATACAATGGGTTTTAGACCAGCAGAATAATGCTTAGCTAGTTAATTATTTTAACTTTGGAGCAGATTAAAAAAATTGTTTTGAAATAAATGGTACCTGTGAGTGATGCTTACTGCAATACTTGTTAAATGTTATTTGTCAGCACTGACCGGAATTATATAGTGCTAGTAACATAGCTCCCACTGTCCTAGAATTCCTCTAAATGGCCAGCTATAGCTACCATTATCTTGATAAGCATTTCAAGAGTTGTGTTGCTGAGCCTTTTAAAAGATAACTAGCTTATAACCTATGTCTCCTTATGTGGCTACATCAGTTACTCGTGGTCCCAAGGAAGTATAAAAGAGGATATAAGCTGCTGAAGATTTCACAGAAGAAACAGAGATATCGGAAACTTCGTGATCATCAAACTTAAACCACCGTTGTCTCGCTGCGTTTTTACAATAGGCTGTGTAGTGGCCTCCATCCAGCCCGCCGTAGTGATTCTGTGCCAAACAGAATAGAAAATCAATTCAATTTAAATTGTTATTTAAAATATGCCAATAGTTTCAAAGCTTTATGTTGTTCTTACTCTCCCATGAGGTAGGAAACCACTTGAAACTTTTTAACTTGCTTTGAAACAAATTGTCTTCAGTTCAAAGAGATACTTACTGAAACAGAAAACAAATTATATTTCTTCAGATTGTTCTTTGGACCAATAACATATTGTGACAAGTCAAGATTTTCTAAAGGGAAATCCACAGATGTCTGCAATTTTTGTTTCCACCTGCCATCATAGGAAAAACTGCAGAACAAAACATTACAATTATACTGACAGAGGAAGATACTAGGATGAATCTTCATTCATTAACATCCAGAATGTTAGCCAGGACCATAAAAATCAATTTCAAATATAAAGACTTGGAATTTTAGTAGTAGGGGAACCCATTAAAGATATTTGGCTCCATTTTCATTTTACAAATGAGAAAACTGAGGCACACCGATATTTAATGATGTGCCTAAGGTCAAACAGCCAGAACTGTAGAGGTAGAACTACACTCTGGTCCAGCTACAACTGCTACATGAGTCTTCTACAAAGGTAAGACACACATGTTTATAATGCTGATCACCACAAAAGCAGAGAATGAAAGCCAGAAATTGACAGTAGGGAAACTATTGACTAAAATAATGGCATTCATTCTGGCATATTCTGCTCCTTTAAACATCAAAACAATGATATATTGGTTGGTGTAATATGGCTATTTCAGAATTTTAAAAAATATTCAGCAGTAAAAATGTTAACAAATGTGTAATCACTTATAGAATGTTTATACCTCCACAATTCTCAAATAAGACAATGGAAAAAACTAGCTTTTGTTAGAAAGCTTTTTTTTTTTTTATCTTAATACAAGATAAAACATTTTAAACAAATGCTTTCGACACAAAAATTACAGTTCTCAATAAAAAAGTGCAACTTTAAAGTTTTTCAAAAAATCAACTCTCAGTTCTCACTACACGGATGGATTACATGAAGACAAAAGAATCAGCAAAAGAAATAGTTTGTGTTTTCTAACTCTTGTCATTATTCCTTCTATTACAGGACTAGATCTTTTTCATCAATTGGAAAATCTGGACAAAATTATTTCTGCACTTAATGGTATCATTAACATATTTTATCTTTAAAATTATACTTTAAAAATTATAAATTTCATTTAACACATGACTGTTATGCTTAGTCTGCTGTTTGAATGTTTCGTTTCATGTGCTATTTTGTTTTTGAATTATATGTATAACTTTTTATACATTTTCACTTGATGCTTTGTAATTATTTAAAATTATGTCTGAAACGCAATAATCATAAGAAATGACATGAACTAGTGGTATTGTCATTTTCCTATGGTATTTGAAAACACTGAGATGAACTAACATTTCTGCTTTATCTCCCTAGATCTACTGTAACCAGATAATTGTCCTTTGTTATGTACCCATGGCAGGCAGTACAAGTATAAATGACACAGGACTTAGAATTCCTTCATTTAATTTCACTGAACAGAAAAAAAAACTTTTCCCTTTACCGTTTCAGATGCACTAAAAGCACAGGTGGTAACTTCCAGATTTCTATCTTTTTTAGAGAATCCCGTCGAGCTCTGCAATGACTGCAGTAAAATCTGTTGTTATCTGTGAGTTTTTCTTCTTTGGAAAATAATCTAAGGCAATCCTGGCAGAAAAAAAGAAGTAGCAGATACTCATTAATTCATTTCTTCAACAGTGTCAAAGAGCACCTATTTAGTCACTCTGCAGGCACCAGTGATTCAACAATAAACTACCCAGAAGAGTTCCTGCCCTCCCAAAGCTTGTGATCTAGTGAAGAGTGTAGACAAGTGAACACAGACAGCACAGTGTGTGGTGAGTGCTCTCTACAATGTGTTGTGACAGGACACAGGAAAGCCCCTAACCTGATCAATCAGGGAAAACCTGTTGGAGGAAATGATATTCTGGAGGTTTTTAAGACTAAAGGTATCAATAAGCTATTATATAAGAAACATTGTTGATATATGGAAAATAGGACATTTACTTGCTATCCCCATGTAAAGCAAATGCTTATGAAAAGTAGGCCTAAGTTGAAGTCAACAGACAACTTTCCAAATTGACTTATAAAACTTCTTAAAAACATATTAACAATTCTTAAAGAATATTTAATAGCGGTACTTTAAAAAAAATTCTAATTCTTTCTCATCTACATAGTCCTAATTATAAAACAGAATTTATATAGAGTTTTACTGATAAAATGTTTATAAGAGTAAAGACCAGAAATAAACAACATACATCTCTATATCCATATAAACAGCATTTTTATCCAATAAATCATTTTCTCCCTATCTTAAATTTACCTGTAATGTACATTTACTTGTGGATGCTAGCGGCAGAGACAAATACATGAAGGCCTCAAATGTCCTAGACTTTTTGTGACAGGTGAGGCACTGTACTGTAGATTTGAATTGACCCTGAAAAAGTGCAACAATTATAGACTCATTGAGCTGCTTGTGTTTCTGCCAGGCATGTTCTGCAGCTTTAAAGTCATCGAGATGATCATTATTTTCTTCTTTATATCTCTTCCGATTATCAGCCTGGAAATAACAGAATTATTTAAGCTCTATATTAATATCTCAAAGATATAAATTGAAAGAATAAAAGTAAATACAAACACTATGCAGATTTAGAAACACTTGTAATTCTCACAAAGGAGCTGTGATCTCATTGAGTGTGGCAAAAATAATTCTAGCCAAAAATACTGAAAAAACCCACTTTATCAAAGAATATGACTTGCTGAAATTTCCCCAATTTTTATTTAAAAAGCTAAAAAGGGTCAGATCTGGTGGTTCATGCCTATCATCCCAGTATTCTGGGAGGCCAAGTCAGGAGGATTGCTTGGGGCCAGGACTTCGAGACCAGCCTGTGCAACACAGTGAGAATCCCATCTCTAGCAGAAAAAAAGCTAAAAAGTTTGGTTTTGAAAAAAGATATCCTACATGTAGCTGGGAATTAAGGCTACAACTAGACAGATAAAATTTTGTTGCCCTAGCCTCTCTATATGTATATATACACATTTGTAAGTGTATTGTGTGTGTGTGTGTGTGTGTGTGTGTGTGTGTATAT